CCACTCAAAAGGAGGCATCACTCAGATGCGCAAGAAGCCAGCTGAGAAGACAAATACTATCCTTAGAGAGTCTGTGTATTTGGCAAGTGAAGCACGTATTATGTTGACAACAAACTTGGATGTCATAGATGGACTATGTAATGGCGTAATTGGCACAGTAAAAAAAGTTGCTACCATTTGCACTCACTTTGGACAGCCTCAGGTGGTATCGGTTCTGTTTGACAATCCCAAAGTTGGTGCCAACACCAGAATGTTGACACTTCCCCCTGCCTCTCTGCCATTAAACTGTGTTGGTATCCAGCCACACACAGAGCAGTTCCTGTATCAGGGTATCCACATCACTCAACACCAGTATCCATTGCGCCTGGCTTGGGCCTGCACTGTGCACGAAACTCAAGGCATGACCCTTCCACAGTGTGTCATTAGTTGCAGAGGAACATTTCTGCCCAGAATGCAGTATGTTGCCATGAGCCGTGCCACAAACATCAAAGGATTATTCATAACTGACTTCGATGAAGATGCACTGTATTGTAATCCCAACGTTACTGCTACTCTAGCAGATATGCCCTCCATGGTTGTGTCAGGCACACCTCTGTTATCAACACCCCCCATTCCAGAGAAGTTAATAGTTGTTGTCCATAATATACATTTTCTCCAAGCAAATTTCCCTGAAATGCTGGCGGCAGATATCATTGGTCTATGTGAGACATGGTTGAGGCCTAACATAAACTCCACCTCTTTGCAATTACCAGGTTTCAAACTGTTGCGATTTGATAGGCATTGTGCACTCAAGCATGGAGGAGTGGCTGTGTTCATCAAGGACTCGGTCCATTTCACGCACGAAAGTCTCCCGCAACGTATCATCCAACCCGGTCTAGAACTTATACTTCTTTATTTGGAAGGAGAGATGACACTCGTTGTCATCTATCCGTCGCCAGCAGTAACTCTAGCAACACTCGAACAATCTTTGACAAAACTTCTTCACCACATACCTGCTTCACACACCTGTATAACTGCAGACGATTTCAACAAAGATCTCACATCAAACCCTGATCACGTCATCTTTAAGCCATTAAGATGCTTCAAACAGTTGATCAGACAGTCCACATTCTGGATGGGTGATGGTCGAGGAAGCTTGCTGGATCACATCTACACAAAGAACTGCCACAGTGTACGATCTGGAGTCCTCTCCACATACTACAGTGACCATGACCCTGTATACCTTGAGATTCAGCAGTAAACCTTGTATATTGTAACGTGTTCATATTATTGATATAGTATGTGATATATTGTACATCGTGTAACACTATATGGACGTTTGTTCTTGGGGTTGTGAAGAAGAAAAGTCACACCTGGGTCTGACAAAATAAGCAAAATAATACAAAAATTTCCTTCTTCTCTGCCATTCCTCCAGCACCATACTCCTGTCTTCTTGTGTCCTTGTTAACTTTCTGGCCTTTCTTCGTTCCTGTCTGCATGACTCATGTCTTCTTTCATTCCCGTGAGCGTACGCCAGGCGGCCTAGCAACATATGTCTCGCTTGATTCCTATGAAAGAGGAAATCTGTCCATCTAGCTGTTGGGAGGTTTCCTCTTATATATGTGTACTGGTGAGAAATTCTATAAACATGCAAAATGTCATGTGTTAAAAATTGAAGAAACTCGCTGGCTCTTTAACAGTTCAGTCACACCAAGTATATAAACGATTACCCATGTTATGCTGATATATATATATATATATATATATATATATATATATATATATATATATATATATATATACT